CTTTTTGATCTAAAAAATGGAATATAAGATAGTCAATACGTGATTATAAATTTTATTTGTTTTATATAGAGGTAGATGCGTTCAAATTTATAATACTCGTTATTGGAAATTGTCGTTTTCCTAAGATTGATAACTCTTGCAAAGCTGTGCAAATAACATATTTACTTGGCCATATATTTTTACTCATGAAATAAATAGTTGGGTTTTTTATAAATAACACAAGGTTGCTTCTTTAATAGATCTAGATTAATGCATCAGGTAATTTACAACAAGTATATAGGCTTATTAAATCGAATGATATTAGTAGCATTAATCAACAAGAATAGATTGTACATGATGATGGCAGTTTAAAACTTGAAGCTTTTTAAAAGAAATTCTCAATAAAAAAGACCAAATTTAGCACAATGCCTGCATCAGTGAAAAACTTAAAGAACAAAAGGCTTTACTAAAATTTTATTATTTTTATGCATCAAGGATAGAGTTGTCGTTATTCACTTTTAATGAATAGTTGCAAAAAAAATTAAGAAAGAACAATAATATACATGAAATAGAGGTTATGAATCATCAAAAGGAAATAATTGTTGTCATTATTATAATAATCAGCAATCACACAGGCAGCAGAAGCAATATTAGATTAACATTGTGTGCCCAGATACATTACTCACAAACAGTAAGGATTATGCAATCTATTTAATAGTGGGTCACTAGTATTAGTTGTGTGCTGATGTTATACACAGTATGATTATTGAATTGACACTATAGGCAACAACACATAATGGAATAATATCATTCCTGATCTGAATCCTTGACGAAAAATCAGCACTGGTTTGATTACAAACAAGGATTTTCATATTGTCTTTGTTAATCTCATTGTGTTAATATGGATTAAAGTTTGTTACATGTAAACTGCACTCACAAAAGATATCTGCCATCAAGAGGAGAGAACAGATAATACAAAAGATTGCAATCAATTGGTTGATTATGTGTAATTGTAGCAATAATTTTTTAATAAATCCATGTTTTGCAAAAAGTAATTCTATTACTGAAATGGAGTTAACTTCTTAATTTTTAAAAGAACATGACATTCTACAAAAATGATCTTGACAAGATAACTGTAAATGCACAGTGAATGCATTTAGGTCCTATAATTGAGACACGTGTGATTCTTTTCTTTATATACATTGTACTATAGGAACTAAAACTATATATTTTATGATTGGAATTTGTGAAAATTTCAAACCTAAAAAGTGTAAATACTTTATAACATTGTCGTCATCTTTAACTTCGCAACAAAGGCAACAAGATGATGATAAAGTTGATAATGACATTGATAAAGGTGACAAAGTAATTAAATATTAATTAATTAGTAATAAAGACGATAATAAAATTTAATCATGTTATATTGTTATTGAATTTTTGTAAGTTTGTGATGCCTAAAAGAGAAGCACAAACTTTAAATTTGGATCTGATTTTATTTAATAAATCCAAAAATTCGATATTTTGTTGATTTTCAATTGGAAAAGTCGAGATCAATTCACGAAGTGATTCCAGTTCTTTAATTATTCTAAAAAACGTATATACATATACACATACATATATTATATTCATTATAGTTTAACAGACCTTATTTATATTAACATTAATTTGCATATATTCATTTCTGCCAGCTTTTATCTTGTCGTTTTTTATTTTTAACAAAATCAATTTTCATCCTGACACTTTTATTTATGTTTTCTCATGTGCAACTTCAAATCTATCAAATTGCCGGATGACATCCATGAAAGTTTTATCAATTCTTTCACAAATTGAAATAAATGTTACCATAATCCAAATCCAAATGTATGATACATGGAAATATCCCTATCAATTTGTTCATATCGCATGTTATTAATACAGGACGTTTGATATTGCTCATGCAATAATTTCAGCACCGTGCACTTACAGTAAGAGTTTCGGAGAGCTTCAAGGGCTCTACAATCATTTATTAGAATTTTTATGGTAGGATTGCTCATTTGAAAAACCTGTTCTATATATACTGTTACCTCGATGATTTCAAAGAAGCAATTGGCAAATATTCGGTTGGGTCAGTGACGGCAAATGTAAGATCTGCATGCAATATACCTGTTTGGCTGAGTAACTCAAATGAGCATTTGGCTAAACTGACTAAACTATTTAGTCATATGTTAAGTTTCAAGTTTAGTCAAGATGATTATTACTAAATTAGGTTTTTAACCCTTTACTATATATTACACTGCCAACCATGGTTATATAAATATGTAGTACAAAATAAAAATAATAAGAGTAGCCCATAATAATAAAAATATATATATAAAATTTAATATGGAATTAGATTTTGATGATTTGGTTAATCTTGAAACAATGTATGTTAGTTAATTAGATAATTATATAATTAGACAATTAATTTATAATTTTAACATAATATGATATAAATATTACAAATATGTCAGGTTTATAGAAATAGGTAAAGAGGATGGTATAAAAGCAGGATTTAATTCAGGAAAATTAGAAGGCTATGTTCTTGGATGTGAAAAAGGATTTGAAATTTCGCAAGAAATTGGATTCTATAATGGCGTGACTGAAATTTGGTTGAAATTCATTGTTGGTTTAGATGATTCTTCTAATCTTTTGCCAAAAACGGGTATCATCACTAATTTTTTGAAAATTGTCCAATGTCAATTCAATGCCAACAGTTTTAGCAATAGCAATCAAATGTAGAACAGTATTTGTAGACCCTCAAAGTATCATTGTTAACACAATAGTATTTTCAAAGGATTTTTTTGTCATGATATCAGATGGTTTTATGTCTTTTTCTAACAAGTTATGAATTGCTTCTCCCTGCTGACAAGCATTCTTCTTTTTTTCAGGATATTCTGCAGGTATCGATTATGAATAAGATAGTCATTCTCATCGCTTCTATTGTTGATGCCACTATTAATCACATGTATTATTAACACGTAAATATTTTATTATATATGTATATATAATTCCGATCTTGAGTCAGTAGCACCCTATATGCAATTAGTCACAAGGGCTCCGAGAATCAGGATTTTGAGAAAATCGCTATTATTTTCGGAAAATATCACGTTTCTGTTTTCTGCGCCCCATGCATCAAAAAAACAATAGCTTGCAGTATACATTCCACCACATGCACCGGGACCAGGACAAGAATTTCTTATAATGTCAATCTTTCTTCTTCATTAATCTTGTCAGAAATATAACTGCCATATACTTGAAACGCTGATACGATATCCAATTTACCCAATACACAAGTACTTTGACCTGGTTTGATCGTTTCACCATAAACCATTAACGAAGGCCTGTTAATCCTACCAAATTGCCATTAAACAACCTGGCATATTTTTGTCACATCCTGGCAATGATATATTAGCATCGTACCATTGACCACCCATCACCTTATAAATAAATATTATTACATAAATTGTTGCTTAAATGCCGTTATATTGTATCATCATCATAATCATCATTTTGTTTACCTATAGTTTTAATTGAATCAGCAATCAAATCTTTACTAGGTAATGAATAGCTCATGACTCTTGTTTAAACAATCGATACTTTTATAATTCATCCAAAAAAGCATGGCGCGTTTATGACACTTAAAAGACAAATAAATTTAGAGATTCTATTTAAAATCACAACTCGCACCTTCTTCATTGATAACATTAATGCTCCACCATCATTATTATTATTATTATTTAATAACATATCCTCTCTGGATTCTAATCAAAAAATGTCCTGTTAAGAATAAGCTGCTGAACTTGATAAAAAAAGTTTCTAAACTGTAACATACCACATAT